GTTTATCCAGTGACAGTCGCCGTATACGTGTATGGCGTCGACTTGGAGACAGACCTAATCCGGCAGTAACTGTGGAACGCCCCACCGCGCGACAACGTGGCATAATGGTTTAGGGTGCTATTGCCTACGATTCCAGGTCACCTCTAGTTCGTATTCAGGGCACTATGACGACCCAACAATACTTGGATAATGTACTGCGGCTGCAGGCAATCCCCTACCTTCAGGGACTGCCTAATGCAATTTTTCAGCAGGATAACGCCCGACCACACAGTGCTCACATCTGCCAACATGCTCCGCAAGGTATACAGATGCTTCCCTGGCCACCTTACTCTCCTGACCTGTCACCAATCGAACATGTGTGGGATGTGATTGGACGTCGTTTGCAGACTCTGAAGAGCCATCCCTCAGGACACCATCCGCCACTCTTATTGACTCTATGCCTAGACGTGTTTCTTCGTGCACTGCTGTCCGCGGTGTCCTACATCCTACTGAGCCGACGCCGTTCTCGCTCTGTTTTCAGACTATCATTTTGAAATAAAGATCACTTAGTGCTGCATCCTGTCTCTTTTTTCCAAATTTCATCACTTTCTGACCACTTCTTCTTGGTGTTGCATTTTCAATGTCGAGCAGTGTATTAAGTGAACCTAGCGCCAGAGTGTCGCTATGGTAAACAAATATAGTGAATTTTAAAGAGTGCATCTATTGTATTGGGGTTTATGCGCTGTCGACGAAGTAGATTTAATTCAATCCAATATGTTTAAATGGAATGCAAGAAAAAATGCGCATAATTTAATATTCCGTACAAGGAAGTCATGTGGTGTACACAGATTTTTTTTTTTTTTTTTTTTACTGCAGTTAGCAGAAATAAATGTTTGTATATATTTATATATAATTTGTCAAGAATTAAAAGGAGAAAAATGTTCGAATTAATGAATTTCAAAAATTTATTGAAAAAAGGACTTCAAATTACCAATTCCAGTTTTAATTTCATTCCAATTTCCAATTTTAATTTCCTCAATAGTTACACATTACAAAAATCTATTAATTTTGAATTTACTATCTAAATTTCACTTAAAATTTCCTAGGAGATAATTTTTCATTTATATAGTCTGTATTAAAATTACATATATAAAAAAACATTTTTAAACATTTATATATATATATATATATATATATATATGTTTAAAAATTTTTTGTATACCCCCCCCGTATCCGGTCTTTATTTTTGCAATGCTTGGTCATAGTCATATACTCCCAATTACAGAAGTGTTTTAAATGACAAAAATATTCATGTTTGGGCAACGTCAAATTTTTAAAACAATTTAATTTTCGAAAATAACAAAAAACTGACTTAAATGTAGTCTCCCGGTTTATTTATATTTGGGAAAGTTTTATACTCGTTGTGAAAAAGTAAAATTAGATGTTTGGTTCCCGTACGACAAAAATGGACCGAGATATTTAATTTCAAAGTTTGACATTTTTTCTTTGACTTAAGATATCGGTTAGTAAAGTTAGAATAGTTTGAAATTAATAAATTAGTTTAATTGAAGTGCAGCAAAAAATTGTGTACAATTTAATAAGCCGTACAAGGAATTCATTTGGTGTCCACATTATATATATATATATTTCGAATTTGTTATTTTAAGTTTTACTTTCGACAGGCAATAAGTAGATTTAATGTGGATTAGTGCTTTTTTTGCCATCGAAAGGTCAAAACGGTTTTAAGCGACACAATACAACTTTATACGTTTTAAGCTATGATGCGCTTTGATTATTTTTGAGAAATACGAAAACAAAGAATTCTTCCTTGATGTGAAAGAAGATTTAAAATGGCACGATTTTTGATGTTCTCACACTGAACATCTTTAGCAGAAAAGAAAAAAAAAAAAAAAAAAAACTGACGTTTCACGAATTTTGGTGCCATCTCCAGAAAGCCTGAAGTGAGGAAAGTTGAGATGAAATATCGAATTAAATGTTATTAAACATTTGTTGCTTCGTGCTTCTTTAAATTCAAAAAAAAAAAAAAAAAAATTACCGTCTCTTAAATCCGTCGCCCGATGGTACCGCACTAGTTGCGCCGGCTCGAATCCAAGCAAACCTCACCGTTCGAAATCGCATCTGCGTAGTATAGATATATAACTCACGTGAAATAATAGAAAAACTAATGAACCCACCTTCGATGTGAAAGATTTGAGTTCCTCGAGATTTCGCTTATTGGAAGCCTTTCTTTACCACGAACTTTGACTAGACTCTTCATTAGTAATATACACTTATGGAATTAGCATGCTTTCAATCGTCCTTAAGCATTCTCTCCAAAAATATCGGATCATTTTGTATGAAACTCACCATATGTCAGTGCAATAAGAAGTGCAATCTGACCGTAACACACAAGACGTTCATCAGTAAAAACAGTTTCTTTGATACCTTCTTATTACTATGGCACATGTTTTGTGAACGGCGCCAAGATATCGATACACTGCTAACGCAAACGATCATTAAGTGGACGGCAAGAACTTGGAACTTCTACCGGCTTCTACATTAGATTTTATTTACGAATCCATCATAATAATGTGCCCTAGGGCCTTAAAAATTGGAAACAATTGCACGACAAAGTCAAGGATTAAAATGCACATGATGAGATCTTGATATTGCTAGTGCCGCCCCATTTTGGCGTCAAAATGAATTTTGGTGGTACTCACTTGAAGATGTAACTCAATGAAAAAAAAAAAAAAAAAAAAAAAAACAATAAAACATAGATATAATACAAAAATATTTACAGAATAATAATCTAAACTCAAAGTTCTCGGGGTCAAGTAGAACTTCTGATCTTAAAATTTCTGGAGGAGTGCTGTTCTATTGAACTGATAAGCTTGCATGAGGATCTCATTTAAATGATAATAGGAAAACTGAATAAATACGATCTAGAATAAACTGATTTCTTGAGTAGAAATGAAAAATATATACAGCAGCCCTACACAATCATTTATAGCTTGCTTGTCACGAGAAGAGCTCCGAATAAATCATGTATTATCGTATTTATAAATATTAACAATTCGTGATCACTCCTAATTCCTCATCACAAGAAGAAGGAACCACAAGAATATTCCACGTGGTAATGTATTTTCATTAAAAAATATTTGATTTAATGAAAAACGAGGAAAATGGTATATCTTTCTTCTAACAAAGGCGCATTTTACCTCGCATTCCAATATGTGAAAATAGCCATTACATAAAACTACATATGAACGAAAGCATTTTGATGTGCAATGTGAAAAGATGCCTAGTGAATGAAAAGCTTGGTTTTGACAAGCATTTCAGTGGCTTCAGAACACTATAACAAGGCAGCGATTTATATACTGTTGGGAAGAAATGAGGTCGATTAAGTGATGAGAGAAGCAACTCAGATTTTACGAAAATACAACTATTGACTGAACAGTTTATGAGAGAGATGTATTCTCTTCATCTAATCTGACAACCAAATAAGTGAATAAGCGGCCCTTAGAAATTGCGGACGTAAACAAAAATTTGTTCATACAAGATAAAAACAAAGCCAGTAGGGTTGTAGGGTTTTCCTTATTTTGCATAACAAATTTATTTTAAGTTTGATTTCCTGTTCTAAAGTTCTCAACTTCCCCTCACATTCTCTCGCCAAGATGTAAATTTAAAGTTAAGTGAAGTGCTATTTAAACGTGTGAATATCTCAGTTTATGTGCATGTTTCGCTAGCCAAGCGCACGTTTCGTTGTTATTTCGCGGTCACTCTAGTAAGCATCTTGACCTTATTAGCATCACGCCGGTTAGATTTCTGTGAGTCCACCTCTTAGGTGTAAACTTAAGTGCGCTCTTGCACTATTTATTTCAGGTTTGACTTGTATTATATTCGTTTTAGTTCCCACCGCAAGTGGACGGTGTTTGTAAGGCACGAAGTCCGTGCCCTTCTATTAAATTAGTTTGAATTAATAAAGGGTTATTTTTCCCCCTTCTTCTGTGCTGGTAATTTATTCACGCCTGTAAGAGAATTCGCCAGGTAAATTGTAGGCTCTAATTTAGTTTATGTGGAATAATAGAGATAGGTCTTACAGGGTTCTTTTAGATAGTATTTGGTAGGTTGTGCCGAGAAACTAGTGAATCCTTTTTCGTTCAAGTTCCGAATACCGTGTTTACTTGTGTAATAGTCGCTTCCCTGTTTAAGCAGATTTCCCGGCAATAGTCGCACCTAGATCTTTCACAAGGAAAAGCTGCCAAAAGAAGTGCGACTATTACGCGAGCAAACACGGTAGACAGGCAATAATACTCATGACAAAAATCGTCGACAAGGTAAAAGAGGGATTGACGAACCATGCATTTCATTTTGTTGATCCAACAACAGCTGCTCATGTACAAAATGTTGAAAGACTGTGGCGGAATAAAAATCGGCGAGGCATAATTTCGACATCATGAAGAGTCTTAGTTTGCGAAGTTCATGCGGGACGAGAAAATAATTCTGATGCCATATTTAAAGCAATCGCAGAAAATGATAGCCACAAAGCGTAAGTGAAAAGTTAAAACAAACCTGGCAATAATCCTGGCTCCAACATGGTGTTTAATAAACGAAGGCCATAATAATAAGGAAGTACCGTTCATTGTTGAATACTCATAGAATATATTTTTTTCACCTTCGACCGCAGAATGCATTTCTGGCGTTAGGCGACCTTATTTTGGGGTAATCTGTACATAAAACTAATAAAATTTTCCAAGATGAGCACTTTCCCATCTATGAAACAACACAATATTATTTTAACTAAACTCCGAATTACGTTATACGTGTTAACAGCTTTATTAAAGCAGATTTTAAACTGCAATATAACAATCACTTCAAAGTAAGGGGTTAAAATGACATGAAACTTTGAAACTTCTTTTTTCTTCCAGCATTTCTATAGAAGGAATGCTATTGAACTATACAAATATCTTAAACAATGCCATTTTCACGGGAAAAGGACGCTTTTCAGCTTCTAAGGCATAGATAAATTCATTGTCCTAACTTACTTTTCCGCTCTTGATGTTTTCCGAGCAAAGCGTCCCGTACTGTGGCATGTCCATGGTGATCTCGAGCCAGGCGAGAACAGTGGCAGCTCTCCAGTGTTGCATAGGAGTGCCGTGGGTCTCCTCCAGCAAGCGAAGTTTCTGAACGTAGCTCTCCTCGTTCATGGGACTCGAACAGACGCTCTCCTTGGGAGACCACGAAGAGCGGTTGTCTGAAAACAAGACAGATAGTTAAGAAAAATTAGTTTTCCAAGTTAATTCCAGTAACATATTTTCCACATGCAAAAAAAAGCATAACGACTAGTATTTTTAGCTATCATATAGTCCAAAAATCACGATAATAACGGGTGTGATACTATCTATCTGAAATACATATTTGACAACTGTGAGGCAAGCTGGCAATAGTGTCGTTGCTTGCTTGTTGTGACAGTAACGCTCACCTCTGTAGTAATGCATGTCGGAGCTTCTGGAGGGTGCCCGGCGGTACTTTGCGACCTGATACCCGTCGTCCCAACATTCCCACGGAATTCAGGTTCAGTGATCTACGAGCCCACGGCAGATGTGCAAAGGTCTCAATATCCAGATAACTCCGCACCACTCAAGCTCTATACGGGCGGGCGTTATAGTCCATAAATATCGCGTCGGCAGCCATTGCAGCTGTTAAAGGCGTACAATAGGGTGTAGAATTTCGTCGCGATATCAGACAGCTGTGACGGAACCACCAGAAAGCACGTAAAGATCTGTGCGGCCGTTCGTTGCTATTCCAGCACATACAAGTAAGCCTCCTCCTTTATTATGGTCTCTTTCGACGATGTTTGGCTCCCGAAGCGTGTCTCTGGCTCTCGCCATATCAGTGCCCTTCGAGAATAGTTCTGGATGTTACATCGAGACTCATCCGTAAAGAGTTCGTAGCTCCACAGCTCTGGTGTCCAACTGCAATGTTCACGGGCCCAATTCAACCGCGCTCTGACATGCGCTGGGGACAAAGGAACACAACCACGTGTCGTCGGGCGTATAGTCCATGCAGTCGACGTGACACAGTTTGGAAGGAAATGGGCCGCCCTGCAGTAACAGAGAGATGCGATGCCAGCTGCGTACTATTAGTTATCTACAGCGTTTTGCAGACAGCAACAGGAAGCGATCGTCTGCCGTTGTGGTAATCCTCCGGCATCCAGAGCCACGTACAGGGGTTTTTTATACTTTTGGTAACGATTTCGCAGCCTACTGATGACATTACAATACACATTCAGCTCTCTCGCAACAGCGAATTGTCTTGCACCATCTTGCATCATCCCGATACCCCTCCAACGCATTTCATCGAGCAAATGGTATCTTCAGATCATGCTAACCTCTTTGGCTATCTTGGATTACACGAGAACTGTCGCTGCATGCGAACTGACGCATAGGTCCGGCATGCGCATTTTAAGGCCTTGCGGTGTGACTGTGGAGTTGCGTTTTATGCTGATTTTCGTTGCCTATCTGTACTCGGTGACACAACTTCTACCTCATATGTAAACTGTATGTTTGAAAAGTGTTTTAAATGACGAAAATATTCGTTTTCGCCAATTTCAAATAAAAAAAAATAATTTTAGACAAGTAAGGAAATCTAACATTTAATGTGATCTCTCGGGTACTATATTTATATCTGTGAAAGTTTTATACTCGTTTTAAAAAAATAAAATTATAAGAAGTTTCATTCCCATATAACAAAAATTGACCCAGATATTTAGTTTGAAAATTTGCAATTTTTATGTCATTTTCGAGTTGCCTCGAAGGATCGGTTAATTAAATTATAATAATTCGAGGAAATAAGTTTAAATGAAGTACAGCAAAAAATGCATATAATTTAATATGCGTACAAGGAGATCATGTGGTGTCCACATCAGGTTTCTTTCTCTACCCCCAAGTTTTCTTTTCTTAATGTGTTGTACACCGATTATTTACTCTGGCAGAAGTGACATTCCTCTCCCCTTCTTTTGCCGAATTGGATGATTTTACATCTACATTTTTCATCATAAATTTCTTCAACACTTTCAGCGTCATATATTTCAATTTGCGAGTCGCAGCTTAAGCAAAGTGCATTACAGAAACACCCGGCAACTAACTCGGAAGCTTCCAACAACAACGTCTCATCTTATTCTTGCTTTGGAAAAGGTGAATTCCATTTTGTAAAAATAATATTTAGTCATCAATCTTCTACGGCATGTCAGTTTCTAAGAACAAGTTCTGTAACTTCCGCAGCATTAAAGTCTAGCTTGTTTTGGCATCATATCCAGACCATTCAAATGTTAAGAAAACATTTTGCATTTAGAATTCACGAAACTGTGCTTTATAAAACTGAGTATGGGTTCAGAAGGTATTCATTTTTACAAAATACCTTAGATCCAGGGAATCTGTTAGCGCTGACTTTATTCATTTTTGAATTCTACCAAGATACGGATTACATCGCCAAATCGAGTTTTTCTAAATCGGAATTGGACTGCATATGATTTTTATTGTCGTAATAAACAATCCAAAGATCTGTAATTTTAATGAAAACGATGAGTCATTTTTTGAATGTTATGTAAATGTTATATTCAACTTTTATGAGAAAAATATACTAGCAATATACTGAAAAAAAAAGAGTACTTGCATAATTAAATAGTACAAGTTTAGTGCAATTATTTACAAAATATATATGTGTAATGTAGACAATTACGTCAGATTGATCCTCAGGACCAAAAGAAAAAAATCGTGTTGTCGTCATCAATACTGGTGGTGTATTTAATTATGGCAAAGCACACTAGGGCTATCTGCCTAAGGGGGAGGGAGGCCTTCGTGGAGGACTTTCTAAGGGAAACTGGCTCGTATATACCGTCATCAATAGTGAGTGTTTATAAGTGGTAACAAGAATAGGCGATCTACGCGACTGCCTAGGGCGCCGATTTTCGGAAGGCGGCAGCTAAGCTGTTCTCCAAAATGACAGCTAAATAAAAGCATATTTTCTTCGAATTCTTAATGCGTTTAATTTATTTGAGGCTTCAACTATACTGGTCGCCTAGGGCACCAAAAATGTTGCAGCGAGCCTGATAAGATTGCTGTCAAAATCGGATAGGGAGAAATTTTTTTAACGCAATCGGTTTAGCAGTTTTTTTAAATAAGAATATTATCTTATTTTTAATATCAAATTTAATTTATGCTCTTAAAAATTACTTTGCTTAGCATAGGATTTCTAACTTTTAAACTGATAATTGCTTTCTTTTCATGACACTCCTAGAAAGCTAAGCATTCCACGAACTAAACAGACTAACGCAACCTGCGTTGTTTACTTTGTTAATTAATTACGATAAAGCGATCTCGGGTATCTGCCGTAAATACAAAAATGCTTTGCTTTTGTGGAAACCATTGTAAGAAATAAATATGCTCGAAAGAAAATCATTTAGACTGCGCCACCTGACAAAAGTACTTCGGTCAGGGCGTAATTAAATCGCAAGTCGCACTTTTCTTGCTATTTTTCAATATAGGTCCTCACCATGGCCCGAGTGGTTAAGAGTACGGAATACTGGTACTTCAACCTGGGTTCGATCTCAAGCGAATATGCTGGCTCCATGGTTTCACTTTACCTCATGTGTCGCGTGAATACTACCTAGGTTTTCTTAGGAAGTCCTCTACAAAGGATTTTCTCAAGAAGATAGACCTCGTGGGCTTCGTCACATTCAAAACAGCCTACCTAACCAATCTTCCTTAATATCACTAATACAGGCTGTCCATAATTTAATCACCGGATTATCTAAACCAAATTCAAACGTAATTTTACGAAATAAAATTATTTATAACGATAAAGTTCAAGGAGTTTCGTTTGTTCTAATTTTCGGGAATGGCAAAAAAGAACTCGTTTGTTTACAGACAATACTGAAAAAACAATGTTCGTTCTCTGGTTATGGGAAACGAAATCTCCGAAAATAGTTTTGAGGCGATTCCGACCTTAATGTAATAAACCTTCACCAATGGAACATTCAATTAAAAGATGGTTAAAACAGTTTCGAGCGACCGGACATGTTTTGCATAAAGGAAGTGCAGGTAGGCTTTGTGCTAGTGATGAAAATGTTTCCGCAATTCCAGATGTGTTTGTGCGCAGTGCCAGCCTTCAAACAGGAATTCCTAGGTCGACTGTTCATGAAGTTGTTCATGTCTGCGTATACATTGCAGATTTGTCAACAAATCAAACCTAATGATCGAGTCGTTCGTAATGAATTTTCTGTAGACATTCCAGTAATTATGATGATTTTCCTCGGATCATTTCTTCGTATTCAGTGATGAAGCAACATTTCATGTTTGAGGAGTGGTTAATCCAGGGCTAAAGAAAAAGAGCCCTGGGTTAATCGACGTAACTGCAGGGTTGGGGGAAAAAGCCGCACTTTTGTAAGGGAGTATGACCGAGGTAGCCTTTTATGTTAATGTTTGATAAGCACTAACCGAAAATAAAGTGATTGGTTCCTTCTTTTCTTGGAGTCATCAATTAATTCGGATGATTATTTCGATATGCTGAGATAGTTTCCGGTACCTCACTTAGAAGAAATGCAACCAAGCCTTTTTTTTTTCCCCCAGCAGGATGGGATTCCTGTCATTGGGCTACACATGTACGTGTTCTTGATGAAACATTCCCATATTGCTAGATTGGTACAGGGGGACCAAACTCATGGCCACACCGTTTTGCAGACGTCACACCCACTCGAATTCTTCTCCTCTGGATTTCTGAAGAACCGAGTTTAAGCTGCAGAGATTCTCAGCATCCATGGTTCCATGGGAGTATTCCATGGTTTGAACTCACGAATAATAGCTGCTCTATTATGGTGCGACAGTAATAACTGCACGTGAATCCTATAGTAATAATTCAGAAAACCTAATCAACAAAATGAATTTAATAAAACGCGTAATATAAATAAATTTCTTCGAATATTTGGAAATTCAAGGAATATCTGATAAATACCCATCTCGAACAATTTTACTGTTGCAGTTGCTAAATATAATATTCATAAAAACACGTTTAAATTTTAAAAAAAGGTAATTTAATATGCATTTTTTAAGATGATATAAAAAATATCATCATTTGATATGAAAAAAATTTAAATAAGAATTAGAGATAAAATAATATCAAAGTTTAATGTCTTAACGCTTTGTACTGCTTATGGGATTAATGATGCTTTCAAAAATAACAATACTAATAATGATT